TTAGTGAGTGAGTTCAATGTGTTCACGATAGTGTACGCAGAAAATGAAGAATTAGTGTCCAGTGTGAACAGCGCTTAGAAAAAAAACAGAATCTCAAAAAAACACTTGTCATTGACTTTTGTTTATTATTTGCTGTGAAAAGCAAAAATAATTCTCTAAAATAGGATATATATGAAGTGACACAAAACTGCGAATTAATTTATATGCGCTTGACGCACTGCGTTTAGTAACGAACAATATAATTAAAATCACATAAATACATCCCATGGATGTAAACAATTGTTTGCTTTGGCCATATTTGGAATTCTTCTACGCTCTATGACATGATAGAAGTTGACCATTTTCCTACTACTATGAAAAAAAGACTTACAATACGTAAAGAAAATGAAAATGTTTTTAGGCTGGATACACTTAATAAGATGTTAGCTGTATTATAGTAAATTAATGATATTTTTTTTTTAATGTAATTAATTTATAGTAAAGAGATTGTAAAATGTCATGATGGAGTACTTATCTGGTGTGAATGTGGACGTTCAAATCTTGATATGTGGAAGGATTATTATAATTATCATATTTCATTATCTTCTAAATCTAACTAATATGAAATAATTATACCCATATCTAGCATTATAGATGTACAGTCATTAATGGAGAACATAGTAATTTCCATGAACATTAATTTTATGAAATTTATATTATATATTAAAAAGTAAATAGAAAACTAATAATCTCTGCACAGTCATTGATAAAATACCATTTGCATTTAAAATAATAAAGTTTCATTATATCGAAATGTAAATATTAATTCATAAAAAAGCAATATAGTAATTCTGAAGTAATTCTAGTTGCTATGAAGGAATTATAATATTTTGACTAATGATCTCGTATAGATCATATGTTTCAACTTTTGTTTAAGCTAGTTAATAATCACATCTTTTCAATTATACATAACTGTGTTCTGAACAATATTATATGAGTTAAAATATACTTGTCATTTTTGAGATTTTATAAATGCTATTAAAGACATTTTTATTCCCTATGATAATAATATAAAAATATGTTTACATATTAATGTATTGAACAATAGAATAACACAACTGAATAATAGAATAATATCTTCTTAAAATTATTATAAAATAATAATATATATAAATATATATTCATATATATTTCGATAAATATAGCAACAATGATTTGAATATTTTAATTACATCAAAAAATTCAAAACCAAATTTATGAACATATACATGCACGCGTATGTTCGCGCGCATATACAATATCCTTAATTAATTTCAATACATATTTTAAATTTTATACGAAATAGATTTTGCATGAAAATTTAATCGCGAATATATGTTAAAAATTTATTGAAAAAAAAAAATTAATATAATATCACAGATAAAATATGTGAAATTACTTCACTTTTGAATTACACAAGTAACAGATAGTATTATTAAATAGTACTTGTATATTATATTATTTCAAATATATAACTTTATAAAACTAAAAAAATTATGCAAAATTATAAACTGCATGTAGTTAAATCAGGTACAAAGAATTGTGATTTTTAAGCTAGAATAATAGCATGAAAAATTTTCTATATCCTTTGTGGTATGTACATATGGGACTCCAATGCAAACATTACTTTTGTAGTAGACAGCATGTTTCGAATTCTTAAAATACTTTAAAAAATAACATAATAGAGAAAATAGAATAACAGACAGGTAATCTTTGTAAGCACATACTTTATTATACAATTATCTAAATACATGTATACATAGATATGAAATTATATATATATATATATATATTTGCTATTTCTTATATTCCACTTTGGAATGTAAACTTATATACATATATATATTTTTTATTTAGATTGGGGTCTTAAAATGTTTAATTAAATATATAAAATTTTTATTATAAAAAATTTATTGTTCAATAACAATTATGATAACAATTATGAAATTTGTAATATAATAATAATGAAAATGTGTTTAAAATTAATTTAGTTTTGATCATATTTTGAATTTATTATCTAGAATAATGATTTGATAAAACTATTTTTAAGAAAATATTGTGATGTTTATTGTTAATAATAACATAAAAGTTCATGTATGAATTAATTACACAAAAATAATATGAAGGCTGTGCAAAAGCTATACTTGAAATACAATACCTATATAAGAAAATGCGATTTTAATGCAAAATAGTATCCATCTCACTATCCCTTAAATTTAACATAAATTTAACATTAATTCTTTATAAAATCAAATTATACTTAAAATATAAAAAACTTATTTTGAAATATTATTTTTTATCAGAATATTAAAGCTTTTAATCTTTTTGGAATTTAAATATTTAAAATTTATTTATGAAATATTATATATTACGAATGTATTATATATAATTAGGAGTAATGATCAAAGCTATTAAATTGATGAAATTCATACATTATAAATTTAAGTAAATTACTAATTTAATTATTTATGATTATTATTATTATGATCTATTAATTGCATTTTATCATTTTTATTTAAAATTAGTAGATTTTCTTATAAATTATTGGATTATTATGAACTAGTTATATTATTTAAATAAATTCTTATATTATTATTAAATAAATTCTATATGTATGAATTACAATTATATTATAAAATATAAAATTATAAAAAATGTATTTATATTTTATATATTTAAAATTAATTTATTATTTTTTACAATTAATAGTGTATAATAATATATTTTATCTAAAATAACATAATATTTTACAACATTTAGATATTACTTTGAAAAAAGAAAAGACCCCAATCTAAATATTATATTTTTATTCATTATTTATGCATTATATATCATTATATATAATGTGATTATATGATAATGCATATAAAAATTATCATAAATTATAATTAAAATAATAATTATTATTTATAAAATTCCAGTTTTTCTTTAACATAACAATTGTCATAAAAATATCAAATTAAATTCAATATTAAAAAGAATGTAATAAGTATCATATTATTTATATGTATGACTATATATATATGTAATTTAAAAAAAAAAATCATATCTATATATTTCGTTTAATGTTTTATATTTTTTAAAAATCGTAAATTTTTATTTTTGCATTTATTCATATAAATTTAAAAGTTAAAACAATAAAAAATTACAATATCCATTTATATGTATATATGTAACAAATGTTTAAAAAAATATTCAATTAAGATTAAAATATTTCATAAAATTAAATTTTGTATAATTATTTACAATTTAATTTTTGATTTTATTTTTTTGTTTATAATTTAAATACTATGAAAAATTATGAAATTTATTTTTTATTATTATTTTATATACTATAAATATATTATTATAGTTATATATAATATAATATTTTATTAAATTTTTAATATAATAATGCAAAAAAGATTAATAATAAAAATCAAACTAATTAATTTTTTTAAATTAGTCTACTCATTAGTTGAACTATAAAACCTAATTAAATATATTTTAACTTCTTTTAATATTATTATATATTATTATAATATTTGTAATTGAAATAATGAAGATTCAGCTTAATTCTCCTTCCATCTTTTTAAGGTAAAAGGTATATATTTTTTTTCTTTTGTTAATAAAGGTGGCGTTGTTGATGCTTCCGTCGTAAGAAACGTCGTTTCTACATAAATGTTGTGGCAGTCGAGATTAAAGCATGTGATCCTGCCTTCATTGTAGATAATACAAAGCTGCGAAAATGGCGGATGAACAGGTGAGTTACCGATCAAAATAATGTGCAAACCTCAAAATGCGGTGGAGTTATTTATGATGAAGTGATTTCGAAAATCGTGTGGTAAGCTAGCTGGTGGTAAATCTGTTGCAAGTTACGTGTTTTTGATGTGTGTCTCAAACATTTTGCTGCCGGAAAACTTAAGTATTCTTGGAAGCTATGTTGTTTGTTGCCGGACCACAGTGATTATTTTGTCGCGCTGTCAATGAAAATGCAATCACAAACTGAAAGATTTTTTTGCTTTAATTTTATTGACATTTTATTATACAAACAAAACCATGTTGATGATATGTAAAACTTTAACCTCGTTTTTTCGTAAATAGTATTTTATATACAGACATAATTTTGAAATTTCAGAAGATAATTAATGGATAGAAATATAATTTAAATCATGAATTTTATATTTGAATATTAATATTTAAAAAAAATACGAATTATGTTTTTTACGTATTTATATTAAATTATTATTTAAAATTACTTAAAAAATATAGCATAACCTATTCACTTTTATTTTACAATATAAACTGATATTTTTTTCTGTTATTTTACTATATTAATTTCTACTATATTTAGTTAATATTAATTATAAATATTCTTTTTATTTATTATAATTTTTTAACTTAAATTAAAAATAATACGAAAATACTTTGATAGATATTCATACTTTTTTTAAACAAGTACTTAATTTTAAATTCCACTAATTAATATTTCTTATTTACAAAATAAATGTGAAATATTGCTTAAAAATTAAAAACAATAATAAGTATTAATTTTATCATAAAAGATAAAAGTTATTATTATAATTTTATTTAATTTCCATCTATTTAAAAATGAACAAATCTAAAAAAAAATCTATAATTATTATGTTTTCGATAATTGTAATTTTCAGAAATGTTGAGAGATATATAATTAATTTAATATTTAATGTTTTTTTTTTTAATTTTGATTTCATATATTTTTTTTTAACATTAATCTAAATATGAAATTTAGTACTAAGAAAAATATATTATAAATAAATAATATAATTTTAAAATTTTAAAATAATATTTATGAAATATCAATAAATAATTGAAAAAATATTTATTTATAATTTATTAATTATTATATTCAGAATAAATAAAGTTATATTAACAAATGATTATTAACAAATTTGGAAAGTGAAATAATGATTTTAAAATATAAACTTAAAATATCTATATGGCCATAATCAAGCCTATGATGAATTATATCACTAAAAATGGATCACATGCAGGAAGTACGGCAGCTGGAGTTGCTATGCAAGCAGTTGTATGAATCACAAGATTCTGCGCATCGTGTAGAGGCTGAAAAAGCACTTGTTGCTTTTCAAAATGCTCCAGATACGCTTACAAAGTGCCAGCTCTTACTTGATCGAGGAGATTCTGCATATGCTCAGTTATTGGCAGCCACTACTTTGACAAAATTAGCTTCCCGTTCAGCAGGACTTAGTTTACAACAAAGGCTTGACATAAGTAAATATTAAAAAATAAAACAATTGAAGATATATGAATTTAATATTTATAATTTTATTTCAGGAAATTATATTCTCAATTATTTAGCAACTCAACCAAAGTTACCAAACTTTGTAATACAAGCTCTAGTTACACTATTTGCCAGAATATCAAAGTTTGGTTGGTTTGATATTGATAAAGATGAATATGTTTTTAGAAATGTGGTTAGTGATGTAACAAAGTTTCTTCAGGTTGGTTATTATTTTAAAGTTTTAGAATATTTTTTTTCTTTTTTCTGTTTCAAAATTCTTTTATCTAATATTTTAATATAATACATAGGGATCAGTAGAACACTGTATGATAGGAGTCCAATTACTTTCTCAATTAACATGTGAAATGAATCAAGTATCGGATGCAGATGCAAACAGATCTATTACAAAACATAGAAAAATTGCCAGTCATTTCAGAGATACACAACTCTTTGAAATATTTAGGTTATCTTGTACTTTATTAAGTACAGCTCGAGAAAATTGTAAAAATTTAATTTTAATGATGAAGCACAGGTATGTTTTCTGTTTTTTCTTTTTTCTTTTTTTTTCTTTTTTTTTTTAAGAATATTTTCATCATAGAAAAATATTTTATAATATTTATGTATTACATATTATTATCATTTCTTTTTTTATTTAGCATGGTTTAATAAGACAACTTTTAAAACTAGCACAAAACTGTTTGACATTTGACTTCATTGGAACATCAACAGATGAAAGTTCTGATGACCTTAGTACAGTACAAATCCCAACTTGCTGGAGACCTGCATTTTTGGATTTTACATCTCTGAAACTTTTCTTTGATTTATATCACAGTTTACCTAATACACTATCATCTTTGGCTCTTTCATGTTTGGTCCAAATAGCATCTGTTAGAAGAAGTTTATTTTCAAACCCAGAAAGAGCACAATTTTTAACACATTTAGTTAGTGGTATAAAACACATACTACAAAATCCTCAAGGTCTAAGTGATCCCGAAAATTATCATGAATTTTGTAGACTGTTATCAAGACTGAAAAGCAATTTTCAACTTGGAGAATTGGTTTTAGTCAAAGATTATCCAGAAGCTATACAATTAATTGCAAAATTTACAATCCAGAGTTTACAAATGTGGCAATTTGCACCAAATAGTTTACATTATCTTTTAACTTTATGGCAAAGAATGGTATCATCTATGCCTTATGTAAAAGCAGGAGATCCACATTTATTAAATACATATACTCCAGAAATTGTAAATGCATATATTACTTCAAGACTTGAATCAGTTGCAATAGTAGTTAGAGAGGGTTTGGAAGATCCACTTGATGATTTAGGAATAGTTCATCAACAGTTAGAACAAATATCTGTAATTGTAAGGTGTGAATATCAAAAAACGTGTACTTTGTTAGTACAACTTTTTGATCAAGCTGCTAGAACATACCAAGAATTAATGACACAAACAGCATCCCCAACACAACGAATGGATATTACTATACAAGAAGGTCAACTTACTTGGCTTGTATATATTATAGGTAAAAAAATTTTTAGAGTAACAAATTTTGATTTAATAAAATGTAATAAAAATATTCTTATTATTTCTATTTAAAAGTAACAAAAAAATATATATTGTGAATTATTATATTTGAACTTATAATAAATATATTATATTATATACTTAAAAAATAGGTGGTGTTATTGGAGGAAAAATAACTTTTAATAGTAATGAAGAATATGATGCAATGGATGGCGAGCTCGTATGTAGAGTACTTCAATTGATGAATTTGACTGATTCAAGACTTGCACAAGGTGGCTGTGAAAAATTGGAGTTAGCAATGTTGAGTTTCTTTGAACAATTTCGTAAAATATATGTAGGTGATCAAGTTCAAAAAAATTCTAAAGTGTATAGAAGATTGTCAGATGTTTTGGGAGTTAATGATGAATCCATGGTACTTGGTATTCTTATCCGGAAAATGTAAGTAAAAAAATATTTTTAGAAATATTATTTAGAATATTTATAATACAAATAAATAGATAAAATTATTAGAATTTACAATTTTAATATTATATTTGCAGAATAACAAATCTTAAATATTGGGGTCGTAGTGAACAAATTATTTCCAAAACATTACAATTATTAAATGACTTATCTGTAGGATATAGTTGTGTCCGTAAACTTGTAAAATTAGAAGAAGTACAATTTATGCTCAATAATCATACAGTATGTATAAAATTTCCTTATAAAAAAAATTAAATAGAAATAAAAAATATATATGTTTAATATATATATGTATATATGTATGTGTATATATATTTTTCTTTATTAATAGAGAGAGCATTTTCCATTTTTGGGAAATAATGTTGCTGTAACAGAAATGCGATGTAGATCAATGTTCTATACATCTTTGGGTAGATTATTAATGGTAGATCTAGGAGAAGATGAAGAAAGGTTTCATACATTTATGTTACCATTAACAAGTATGAAAGTTATTTTTTATTAAATGTTTTAATATGCTTATTTAATATTTATATTTACATTTTCCATTTTGTAGGTGCATTTGAAAGTTTAGGACAATTAATTGGTCCTGCTGATCCTTCACTTTTTGCAGCAGAAGAAGCAAAAAAAGCACTGATTGGTTTAGCAAGAGATTTAAGAGGTTTAGCTTATGCATTCAATACAAAAACATCTTATATGATGCTCTTTGATTGGATGTATCCTTTTTGTGAAATATAATTCGATAAATGATCAATAAATGATAATTTTTTTTAATTTTAATATAAAATACCTTAATTTATATATAGTTATCCTAATTATACACCAATTTTATTACATGCTGTGGAATTGTGGCATTATGAACCACAGGTTACTACACCCGTCCTAAAATTATTTGCAGAATTAGTACAAAATAGAAGTCAACGATTACAGTTTGATGCATCTTCTCCAAATGGAATTTTATTATTTCGTGAAGCTAGTAAAGTAATATGTAGTTATGGTAATCGTATATTAAACGTTGAAGTTCCAAAGGATCAAATATATCCCTTAAAACTTAAAGGGATAAGTATATGCTTCAGTATGTTAAAAGCAGCTTTGTGTGGAAGTTACGTAAATTTTGGAGTATTCAGATTATATGGCGATGAAGCATTAGATAATGCGCTTAATACATTTGTAAAATTACTTCTTAGTATACCACAAAGTGATTTATTGGTATGCATTAATTAATTAATATATTAAAAATATAAAAATAGTTATCTTACAATTTAATTTTTTTTTGTAGGATTATCCAAAATTATCTACAACATATTTTGTGTTACTTGAATGTTTGGCTCAAGATCACATGGTGTTCCTTTCAACATTAGAACCCAGAGTATTCTTGTATATTTTATCAAGCATCAGTGAAGGCCTTACAGCACTAGGTGCGCAAAAAGACTCCTATACAGGTCTGTGCGGCTGATTCTATTTTATTATCATTCTCTTATCCTCTATGCCTTGCCATGGGGTTATAAGATCCAAATCATTTAGAATTTTCTTTTTTTTTTTCTTTTTTTTTTTTTTTTTTTTTCTTTTTTTTCTTTTTAAAGAAAATATTCGTTAAATATTCTATATTTTATTTTGTAAAATTAATAAATTATGAATAATTATTCATAACTAAAATATAAAAATATATATAACATATATATAAAAACCATTTTAATAATCGTTTTAAAATTTTTTGAAGCTCAGAATTTCTTTATATTAAAAATATTTAAAATTTTAAAAATATATAAAAAATATTGTATCTTATAAATACAAGATAAATCACGTAACTTCATATAACTTATAAATTATTTTTGTATATAAATGTTTTGTACGAAAGTTGCATGATATAGAAGATTTATAAAAAAAGTAAAAATATATAACATATGAAAGTCAAGTTTGTTTTTTAATGGAATAATATATTTTGTAAAACGTTAATCAATGTTTTATAAAAAATTATTAATTTCAGAAATATTTTAATTTGAATTATATAAAATTTATTATATATAAATATAGAAACCATAAATAAAGAGTCATTTTTTTTGTAATATCACTTTGCGTGAATAGTTTCTGTATATAAATTTTATAAAATTCACATTTTTTGTTATAAATAGCTTAATAATTTTTTTATAGGAAATAATAATTGTAAAAATAAATTTGATTTTTATGTTTTCCATATATTTATTTATTTTACAAATAAATTAATGTATTAAATTATGTATATGATTTTTTCTATATCATACAATTTTTATATGAAATATTTTTTCATATAATAAATAATTTATGAATTATTTGAAATGATTACATTATGTGATTTATATATATAATAATCATGCATGTATGAATTTTTATTGAATATGCAAAGTTAATATAATTTTATTATTACTAATATAAAATTAAAAGAAATCAAAAAAAAATAGTTATTAAGGATATTTAATTTTGTTTATTTATTTGCTTTTTGCATTGTTGCTTGGAATGTAAACCTGCATTTAGGTATATTAGTTATGCTATAGTTTGAAAATTAAAAAAACAAATGTATGCTAAGTAAGTTTTATTCGTATGACGAGAATGATTAAATTACTATAATTATATAGGCAATAAGAGGATTGGAGTTTGTAGAATCTAGACCCTAATTATTATTGTTCTATTCTTCTTTTTTTTTTTTTTTAATTTTTTATTTCTATTTTTAATGTTGTATTTAATAATAATGTTATATTATAGACGATTTATGAAATTTTTATTTATTTAAAATTAAATTATACATATAGTGGGTCTAGCACACATAGTCAGCCGCACAGCTGGCATGCTACTAAAATATTTTATTATTCATAGACATAAGTTCCTTACTAATTTACTAATTATTACATGTTTTTTCCTCACATTTTATATTTTTTTCGTTATTCAATATATGATTTATTAAATTATATGTAACATTATGAAAACTTGAAATTTGAATTTGAAAATTATCATTTGTTCGTTTACTTATTTAAAATTGATAACTATTTTTTTATTTATACCATCTATAATAACAGAAACTTTAAATTTTTCTTATATCTAAATAAAATTATATTCTAGTGAAATATTTAACATAATGAATAAACAAATAATTTTACAGAACTCGCATTATTTTCAAGGTAGGTCACTGTATTAACTATCACAATAGCTATTTATATTTATTTATGTTTTTATATTATTTTTCTTTTTATTAACTTATTCTTATTTAATTTATTGTCATTTAAAATATTTTTTATTTTATTTTATTTAAATATAAAAATATAATAATTGAATAAAAATAAAAAAATTTATTACAGATACAATGGTCTGTACTGGTTGTTGCGCAACACTTGATCATATTGTGACTTATTTGTTTAAACAATTATATCAAAAAGGTATCATTTACTTGCAATATTTGAATCTAAATTAATAAATATGATTATAATATCAATATAAATACAACATATTCTTTTTTTGTTAGGAGGATATCCAGGAAGGAAAAATACTGTAGTTCCAGGAGGTGGAGATTTATTCTTACAAGTTTTGAAACAACATCCTGAAATTCTTCAGCAAATGTTAAGTACTGTTTTAAATGTGATAATGTTTGAAGATTGTAGAAATCAATGGAGTATGTCACGTCCTCTGTTGGGATTAATTCTTTTAAATGAAGAAGTAAGTATTTATATAATATATTTTATGTAATATATTTTATAGATTATATTAAGATTTTATAATTTTTAAATATTCATTAATAAATATTACAGTATTTTAATCAATTACGAGAAAATATTATTAGAAGTCAACCAGTTGATAAACAAGCAACAATGGCACAGTGGTTTGAAAATTTAATGGAAGGAATCGAAAGAAATTTACTCACAAAAAATAGAGATAGGTAAGAAAACTTAAAAAAAAGTTATAAATTTATTTTTCAATAATATATATATATATATATAAATTACATATATTTGACATTTTCGTTTGTGCTTTTTCTCAGGTTTACACAAAATTTGTCACTGTTTAGAAGAGATATAAATGACACTTTAAAAGGACCTAATACAACTGCAAATCCTATTGGTGATATGATGACCTTGACCTTCAATTAGATTTTCCTAGGTTCTTGCCTGCCAAATGCTTGAATGTGTGCGCGAGTGAACTATAAATTATGGTGGATTTAAAATTATGATTTTAGATGAGTATAAAGATAATAAATTAAATATTGCTGTTTTATAGAAAATTATTGTTTGGCTTCCTATTCTTTTGTAACTTTAACAATTCGTTTTTTAAATTTGTTAAAGTACATATACGTGATATTTCAAAATTTAGAATATTTAAATCTATATATATGTATATTTCTTATTTTATAATTATACATATATAGTGTATTTATAAAACTAAGTTTTATACATTTCATTCTAAATTTGTAAACAAGAAAGACCAAATCCTTTTTATTACCTTTATACTCCTATTACTTTGATTTAATATCATATTGGTAAATATCATATTTGATAAATATTCCTGCACATATATTAAGTACAAAGAGTGATTTGCAATAAATATATTAAATTTCATAAATCAACAATTATTGCATTAAGAAATTTTGTATGGATAAATAATTGATTTTATTTCAATTGTCTTTTGCAAATATTTACGATATCAATTGTTATCAATTAAAATTATTACAATATTTTTATGCTAACATTAAAATATGTATTTCAGATATGAATGACTTGTTTCACACTATATTTTAGTAAAAGTTTGAATTCAAATATTAAGAATCATCATTTTACATATATTATTCATTATATCTGCGTCTTATTTTAAATAAATAATAAATTATCATCTTGATTATATTAAATAATATTTTAAAGATACAGTTTAGAATAGGAAGCCAATTATATAATAATCCATTATCGTAGATCTTGTTCTATATTATTTTTACACGCAACCGACTTCCACATTTAAACATATTCATTAACATTTTTTTTACATATAATTATTCTAAGAATGTTTTAATAAATTAACAAGAAAGATTAAAAAATCATTACCAAAAAGCCATACAATATCAAACAAACAATATCATTTCATTGATAATTGTTTAAATTATTGAATAAATCATTCATAACATTAATGATACATCACAAAAAACATCATTAAATTAATAACGCAAAAATTTGTTTAAAAATACATTATTACTATTACTATTACTATTATTATTACTATCATCATTATCATCATTAACATCATCATCATCATTATTATTATTAATATTATTATTATTATTATTATTATTATTATCATCATCATTATCATTATTATTGATATTAATTATCAACATTATTATTAATATTAATTATCATTATTATTATTATTGTTCTTGTTATTATTATTATTATTATTATTATTATTATTATTATTATTATTATTAATTATCATTAATGTCATCATCATCACTATTACTACCAGCACTACTATCATCATCAATCATCATCATCATCATTATTA